AAATCAATATTTCAATTCTTATTTGATATAATCTTTCTTAAGGTTTACTAACGTGTGTATTGTTTTAATAGAAAGTGATACGAGGCATCAAAGAGAGTAATTCGATTACTTAATTATTTTTTTGATATAGAAATCATGTTAGGATGTTGATTCCTAGAGTTCATGTTAGGATGTTGATTTTCATTCCTAGTATCATGTTAAGATGTTGATTTTGATTTCTAGTATCATATTTAGGGTGTTGATTAATATTTTTAACATCATGTTGGTTTCTAGTATCATGTTTAGGCCAAAGCTTTGATCTTTATTATTAGTGACATGCTAGGGTTTGTTATTAATCCATTTAGTATCATGCCTAGTATCTTTCTAATAACGTTTTGATGTTATTATTATGATGATGATTGTTGTGTCAATTATTATGTTGCTTAGTTATTCATTATTTATTATTATTGCTTGATCACACCCCTTCTTGCAGGTTCAAAGGGAATTTGTACTTGAAAGCACGCCTAATAAGATAATTAATAATTTGATTTTAGGTTAATATGATTTTAATTCATGTGATCACCAATATTAGATTTATTTGTGCATTAATAATTAACCAACATAGATTAAACAGGTTTAGGATTAATTTGATGTATGTATGTTGATCAAAAAGCGCACATGAATATCATAAGAATTAAGTAAAGGCCGATTTAGGGAGGGTTCAATCTTTTTTAGGTTGGATTCGTACCATCATCCCTGAATATCCACTCATAGTTGCGAACCACTATGGAGTTAGCGATCTCCGTGATTGTGAATGAGGTGTAACCTTCGCACCCGTGAACGGTTTAAAAGTTCCTATAACTTGTTGGCGACTCTTTTATCTCTAGCTTCTTTCCCTTTGGATGCCACCATGCCTAAAAGCATGATCACAGTGGCCTCAAAAAGTTGAGTTTGAAAAATTCCCTACAACGATGCATAGCCATATATAGAGAGGTAAAAGAGCTTGAATACATATAATACAACAAACTTAAAATTCGGCCCCTAGGTATAGAAATTGAGGGATAAGGGAGCTAGGTTTTAATCTTTTTATGTCCCATCCCCCTCCCTAATCCTTATTTCTAAAAACGAATTCTTATATCCCTTTTCCCAAAATCCCTATTCCTCCTCTTTTATCCCCTAAACAACCATGATGTTAAGGTCTCGTTTGGTTGACATGAGAACTAAAATTTCCATAGAAAGTTGTAATTCATGAGAAATTTATTTACTTAATGAAATTCCTTAATTTGTTTGGTTTTGACAATGTGAAGTTGAAATTCTCTTGAATTTTGATATTCCCATTTTTTCATTTTTATGTTAACCAAACAACTACGCATGTTATCAATTCCCATGATTATGCACTTTCTCGATTTTATTTTGTCAACCAAACGATTCCTAAATGTATCATTTGTTTTATTTGGCTGTTTTATTAGCCGAACTAGGTTAGGTCCCGTGTCATGTATGGTAATTTTCAATAACTATCATTATTTATCTAATACCAATTATAAAAAAAAAAAAAAAAAAAAAAGAATTTGTCTAAGTTATTACTTCGTAAAATGATTTTATTATAAAAGAGCCTATAATTAGTGAAAAAGATTTTTTAAAATGCGCATACATGTATATTTATATAAAGTATATTTCTCCAACAGATTTATATCATTTTCTATCTTCTTATTAACCAAAATATCTTAACAATATTTATTTTATCCATAAATAGATTTCTTTTTTACACTCTGTTATTCATTCTCCCTAATGTAGTATTTTTTTTTCAATAATCAACTAACTTAAAATATTTTTTCATATCTTTGCTGGCAAGCTTTTCATACAAAGTTAAATACAAAAAACTTTTAAGAAAAATCTTCATTGTAATAATGATAGAGTAGTACATAATACTATGCATGTCACAAATTATGTTAGGAATTAGGAATTATTTTTTTTTTATTATTTTTTTTTTTACATATTGTGGAAGTATACATTGAATCTTTTTTATTCTTTTATTTATGTAAATAGGTCAAACGAAAAAAAATATACGGATTAGCAAAATATGCTAAGTACGATAAGTAGTGCAAGATAAAGTAAACTCAATTTATTAGCAAACATGTTTTTAAAACCAATTCCAATATTTTATAATTCCAACCTCATAATTCAAGTTAATTCTCAAGATTCTCAAAACAATTTCAATAACTCAATAATTCAATATTAGTGATAAATATAATAAATTCCTCTATTAAAAACCCAATTCCTCTCCTAAGTGTACACACCCCCTAAGTTAGTATCTTTACATTGAAAGGCTATCCTTGAGGAAAGACTTGGTCATATAGAGTCTAAAGTCTTAGCTACTAAATCTGCATAGTGCGATTAACATAATCATGCTTGTAAAACTTTAATTATAATTCAATAATTCCTCTTTAATTCATTAAATCAATAATTCAATCCTTTGTAGTAATTTAACTCAAAAATCCTTTTTATTCAATTCAATCATGCTTTCAAAACCAAACCTTTAAACGTGATAAATAATTAGAACCATTCAAAACATTATATTAATTCCATTCAAACATATTTATTTTAAACTTGAATTCTCAAGATTATTTCATGAATCATAATATTTAATTTAATTTAAAACAATTTGATTCAATCATACAAAACATGCTATTCAATCCAACCAATTTCAAAGGTATCTAGCCACTTAAACGTACCTTGACCCTCGCTTAAGCAAAACACAAAGAACCTCAAGCACTCTTGTCAAAAATACCCTACAATTAAATATAACCTTAATCAATATAAAGTCATCAAATAATCACAACAATTAAAGTAAAACTCTTGATAACCCCTATAACACTAACTGTTAAAATTTTGAGATAATACAAAATGGGCCTGGGCAACCCGAACAAGGAGAATGAAGGAGACTTTGGTCTACAAACAAAGCTAAGGAGATTCCATACTAAAACCTATTGGCAATAGTAGGAGGAACTCCTCTACCTTATAAAGTGAAACTAACTCTCCTCTTTCTCCAATGTAGGACACTTACAAGTGGGATACAATGAGTTTTAACTCTAACGAAGTAGCTCCTATGATGGCTGGCCACAAGGTTTGTACGTAGCTAGCCATATATATCAATGTGTGATATACATATACTTTCAATTTTTTATTTATAATTTTTTTCTAAAGTGTAATTAAAAATGTCTATATCGCCCCTAAAGAGAATAAGAGAATTACCAACTTGTCATTGTAACGTGTTAAAACCTTAAGCTTTTTATTAGTATTTGACAGCATTAAAAAAAGAAGAAGAAAAAAGAAAAAAAGAAAAGTCAAACCATATATATTCGAAATATCTTACAATAAAGTTGAAACCATTCAAAACCTTTATTCATATCCCATAAAGAATATTAAGGAACAAGGGAAGACTAATTTTATTTTATTCTTAGGATATTTTGGATTTTAACACCACACAAATGTCTGAAAATGTTTTTTAACACCCCCTAAAAAAAACTTTTATTTTAACACCACAAAAAAATTTAAAAATTGGAAGTTACCACCAAAATCTTGTCTCCGTTAACGGAACTGTTAGTGGGGCCTACTCCAATGGATATTTTTTTATAAACTCTCTATGTATGCACGATTTTTGCACGAATCTCCCCCAATTATCCCGTTTTGTAACCAAATCTTTCTTCGAGTTGAGTAGAATCAGATTGCATTGCATATCAAAAACCATAACCAGTGAATTATTGTTTGATTTTTGAGAAGAGGAAGAAATTGAAGCTGCTGAAACAAGTATGTGTGTTCTTGCGATGACAACGAATAATGTGTAATCAAATTTTGGAAATATAGTTCGTTTGTTTGGTAATTAAAGTTTAAATTGATTACGTTTACTATTTACAATTGTTTTGTACCGGAATTGATGGTTGGATTGTGTTATGTTTGTATGTAACTGCCCAATTACAAAATTAGGGTTCCTCACAAATTGAAATTGGGGCTTTTTGTATTAGGTTATTAAAATTGAAAATTGTTGCTGACAATAATAATTCGTTAGTGTACAAATCTATAAATGTGATTGTTGATCTAAAATTGATGCAGATTATGTCGTTTGTTAGCTCTTCCCCTTCTAAGGAAAAAAAATGCCAGTGTGGTGTGCCAATGGCCAAGCTCACTAGCTGGACAAGGGAGAATCCAGGCAAGAAGTTCATATCCTATAAGTTTTATGACCCAATCACATAAATAAGGGGCTGCAAAGCTTTCAAATGGGTTGATCAACCTGATGGAACTTATTGGCAAACAGGGGTTATCAATAACCTGTTGTTGGATAAGAAGCTGCTAAAGGGTGAAGTTAATGAACTGAAAAGGGAAGTTGATGAAATCAGTGGCCAAAGGAGGTGCCTACTTAATGAAGTTGATAGTTTGAAGATGAGATGCAAGGCCTTGAACGCTGACAGGAAGAGAATGAACAGGGAGGGCAATGCAAGGAAGATGTCTTCAATCAACTGTTGTGGTTGGGTGGGCATGGCCATGTGTATTGGTTTGTCAATGGTTGTAGTTTTTCTAATGGATAGGGGTGTTTAATAGTAAGTTGTATGTAGTATTTGATAATTTGTTGTAATGCCTTTGGTTTTAGTGTTATATATATGAAATATTATGAGTGTTGTTGTAGTGATAGATATCCAATATATATGTATCTCACTCAGCCTCTTTATCACTTGTCTAAGCTGTTAAATTGAAAATGTTTAAACTTGCACATATGCACATATTAAGCACTTCATGAAAACTTCAAGTTGACAAAAGAAAACATTACAAATCTACATTGAAAGTGGATCAAAGTACTTCAAGTGCAGGTTGCCAAAAGAACCTTACTTGAACCTGTTTTAATGGCAATCAAAGCCATGCAAAAGCTACAATAATGTATCCAATTGTTTAAACGGCAATCAAGGCCATAAAAAAACTAAGTTGTTATATTAAACAGACACAATGTTTTATAACCAATCAGGAGTGCATCACTGGGTGAGGTTTAACTTGTTGAAGGTTTGCAGCTTGACCCTTGTTACAACACATGTTTGGAATGGCTGTTGAACTGTGGGTGGTGCAGGCTGACTTGAGGAAGCCTTTGTCTTTGTTTTTGGTTGACTTGAGGAAGGCTGACTTGAGGTAGGCTGACTTGAGCTTGGCTGCCTGGACTGTGACTGTGTTTTCTTGCTTAATGCCAGGCAACCTTCTTGCTCTTGAGGAAACTTCTTGTTTGCTATGCTGTTTGGTCCTGCCCCAATTGCACTCTATGACATGGATGTAAAATTAAAAAGTCAGTGAAAAAACGTACATATATATAAAAAACAAAGTGGGATTTGGTGGTATGATTGTGTTACCTTTTTTGCAGCCCTAAACTCTTTCTTCTTCCTCTCCTCCACCATCCAAGGAGTGTTCAAGGGGGGTCTGCCTGCTGACTTTATCAGCTCTGTTGCTGGTGCAGCAGGTGCTTTGCAGGTCTTGGCATAATGCCCAAATCCTCCACAGTTGCTGCATTGCTTCTTCCTCTTTATGCTTGCTTAACCAGCTGCAGTAGAACATTCTCCTGGCTCAAGCTTCCTTTTTTTTCTCTTAGGTCTCCCAGGCTGCACCTTAACAGAAGGAGGTAGTGGTTCCCTCATTTGGACTCTCTCCTAGTACTTGGGACCAGGCATTGGTTGGATAGCTGGTTCATAAGCATCCTTGTATGTGTCCATGGTAGTATGGGTCAACATATGCCTCTATGTCACCCCTCATATCCAACATGCATGCATAAGCATGAACACAAGGAATGCCAGTGAGTTTCCAATGGTAACATGTGCAGGTCTCCTTATCCAAATCAACCAAGACTTGGTCATCCTTCAGCTGCACCTCAAATGTATTCCCTCTAGATGGTTGCACCACAGAGGACCTAGCCACAAAGTCTATCCTAGCCAGAACATGCCTCACATATGGGACTAAGTTGTGTGTAATTTATTTTGAATCCTCCCACTTTTCGTTATTCGTGTTCATTATATACCTCCTCATCCATTCCATTTGGGTGAGGATAGGTTTATCTCTGGCAGGCCTAATCACTGCATTGAAAGTCTCACACATGTTGTTTAACAACATGTTAGACTTGCAGTTTGGTGTAAATGCATGTCTACACCAATGACTGGTAGGAATGTTGGCTAAATATTCATATGCCTCTTCATCAAGGAATTTGATAGACTCCATGGAAATTTCATGCTCAAACTGACAATATGCAATGACATACCAGTTCAGAACAACATGTATAAAAGCAGGACATTTATAATAGATAAAGACAAATGTAGACAGAAGCATGAACCAATATTCAGACAAGATAAGTAACCATGCAGACAAGATAAGTAACATGCATATCATTATTCAGGTTAAATGAAGCATATAAAAGCATTTATGTTTTCAATAAGCAAACCAACTTACATAAGTGGTAGCCCTGGGTGCTTTCCAAAATAGCTCCTTGAAGGTTGATCCAGTGTAGTTGAGCTTGAAGTTGGCCCAAATATGCCTAATACAAAACCTTTGTTCTGCTTTGGGAATAACATCAACCATTGCTTTGATTAAACCCTACCAAATGCAGATAAAAGCAAAGTCAAAAGCCAATCACATACATACACATGGAAACTTAAAAATTGAACCTAAATACTAAAAAGGGAAACAGAAGCATACCTTCTGCCTGTCAGACATGATGGTAAGCCCAGCTCCTTGATCATGTGTGAACATTGCCATAAGGGATTTCAAGAACCAACCCCAAGTCTCTTGGTTTTCTATCTCCACTGTAGCCCAAGCTAGAGGAAATAAGTTGTTATTCCCATCCTTAGCCACTGCCACCAGAATTTGCCCAGGAAAGGCACCTTTGAGGTGACAACCATCCAACCCTATTAGTGTCCTACAACCTTTTGCAAAGCCATCTCTCAGTGGCCTTAAACAGATCAACATTCTCATGAACAAGAATGTCTCTAGGCTGTTAATACCATCAACAACAACATTGCACCCAGAACCAGGGTTGTACTTCATCACAACTTTTCCATAATCCCACACCCTTGCATACTACTCCCTAGCTGAACCAAATATGATCAGTTTTGCCCTACACCTAGATAACCATGCCTTATAATAATTCACTTCAATTCCTAAATCATTCAAAATCCTAGCCCTAATCTCCTTAATTCTCCAACCTGGACTCCTAAACTCTTCCAAATACCTCTCTGCTATATATTCAGCAGTAAGCATCTTGTTCTTCTTCACTTTGAAACAGGTGTGGTCTAATATCAAGGTTTTTATTTGCCAAGTTTGCTGCTTCACAAGTTTTGATGCAAACACCTTGAAATGACACTTTACTCCCCCCACACATGTACAAGCAGACATTCTATAGGTGTAGCTATTGAACTCACATGCACATCTATACCTACACTGAATTGTAGTCCTTTTACCATCATTATGCAAGTAGTAGAACTCATACCTGTTTTGAATGGCATGAAGTCTTAAGGCCCTCCTTAAGACTAAAGAATTGCTGAATTTCTGATTTAACTTCAACTGGATTGGGTTGTCAAAGTCCACAGCAGCATTAAACCATGGAGCAGAGTCCTCTTCCTCGTCAGATCCACACAAACTCCTTGAATCATCTGAATCACCACCAGTCTCTGGATTCACCTGCAGTTTTCCAACATCCGAGTCATCCCTCAACTCTGCGCTCTTATCTTTACCAACTCCCTCATCTATTTCACTCCCCAAAAAACTTTCCTAAGGCTCTTGTTCACCTTGTCCAAGATCTCCTTTGACCCTTCAATATACCATTCCTCATCCTCTTCATCATATTCTTCTTCATCAGGTTCCCAATCCTGGCCCTCATCACTCAAATCAGAACTTAAATAACCAGATCCTTCACCTCCATCATCTTCCTCATCATCAAAACTCAAGACCTTAGCCTTAGCTGAGGTTTTCCCTTTCAACTTCACCTCTGTATTTGCAAAACTAGAAGCTCCTAATTCTGCTACCTTCTCTTTCTCTTTCTTTGTGAGAAATATATCCCTTGGTGGACTCTCCTCCCTATGTTCAAAGACTACCTTATTAAACCTAGGGCTCCTCCTAACACTCACAATAGTTAAACTTCCTACTTTCTTGCCCTTTTTACCCTTTTTATTTGTCTATGGTGGATTGGGTTGGGCCTCCTTTATGGGCTTAGTAGGAGCTTCTGCTGTTACAAAAACTTCAACATACCCCTCTGCATTTACTGTCTCTAAAAGGCCCTTAACCTCTTCATTGTTAACTAGTTCCCTTTTCCCAGTGTTAAAGGTTTTGCCCTTCTGCCTATACCAACACCTGTAATGCATAGGCACAGCCATATCACCACTAACAAAACCATGAATTGCAGCTGTTCTGATCAAATTCACATCCAGCTAAGAAACCTGGACTTTCCTCTTCCAGTAACACCAACCACCACACCAACACATCAGCTATCTGTCTTTGCTAAATCTTTTAGGGACAAAATCACCTCCCACCCTAAGGTAGATGTCAACCATACTGTCATTGTCACCCATTATCTACCATATTAAAATCCATGTATCAATATATGCACATTACGAATAAACAAATCCAACACAAGAACCAAACATACAGTACAAAGCTCCAATTCCAACATTTATTAACAATTGAAACCCAATTTAGGTGCTCAGTAACATAAACTAATAAACAGATCACACATGCACAGTTAATAAACAATAAACCACTTTATTTAATCTCTAATTGCAATTAAGCACTCCAATTAACCTAAGTCGCATAGTCAATTGCAGAAATTGATTTTTTAAGGGTTTTCTACTTTGTTGCCAAAATTGACCCTAATTTAGCCCAATATTGCAATTTTGACATCAATAAAGCACCAGTAACAGACGAAATTGCTATCAAAAGTAAAAAAAAAAAAAAAATTACCTTCTTTGCTCTCAGATTCCACCAACATTCGCCCTTTTCTAGTTCATGAAGATTGGTGACGAAACCCTGCTGACCTAATCTTCACCAATGTTGACAGCTCCCTCCTACACTGCACTACTCAGCCACACAATTTAGGTTACAATGCGAAATCAATGGTGGTTCAGAGAAAATTCAATGAAGATGGTTGGTGAGAATTCAATGAAGGAAGAAGGTTCGTGTTTTATTGGGTGAAAAGTTGGAGTTAAAACCAAATTGTGGGACCCACGTCATTTTTCCGTCACAAAAATCGTTAACTGGTGGTAACTTCCAATATTTAAAATTTGTTGTGGTGTTAATATAAAATTTTTTTTTTGGAGGGTGTTAAAAAACATTTTCATACATTTGTGTGGTGTTAAAATCCAAAATATCCTTATTTTTAAAAATAATTAAAATAAACCTTTTCTTTTATTGTATTTTTTCTTTCTTTTTTTTCATTTATTTACTACCTACTAAAAAGCGTACACATTTACAATTTAAACACATGTTTCCATCTAATATAATTCGTAATTCTATCCTATATAATTCATTATAGGGCCAAGATATTGTTGGAAAAATACTTGTCGATTTCGATAATAATATAAAGAAGATGAATGGAAAAATACTTGATTGAATATCTCAATAATACACTTTTGCTGAGAACAGAATCTACAATTATAAGCAAAATTCGCCACCGCCGGTACAGGTTTCTTGATGACGCACACCTCCAATGTTAACAAAATTCCTCCATAATTCGTGTACCCGAACTCGAAGGATGGAATTGCTACAAAAAGTGTTCATATCTCAAAGGGTTGGTTTGTGTTTATGTATTTAGGGTTTCAAAGATAACGAAACTGTATATCTTAATTTGGGGGCTAAGAAGGGTATATATAATATATATGAGTAAACAAGAAAAGAAAATCAAAGAATTATCTTGTCTTACACTACTCCACACGTACACAAGCAGTCGAGCTATTGCTCGCAGGATAGCTCAGTCCTACCGCACACACGCATGCACTCGAGCTATCGCTCGCTCGCCTTTGAGCTATAGCTCGGCCTTGCCGCAACTTTGTGTGCAACCGAGCTATCGCTCACTCTCTTGTGAGCTATAGCTAGCAAGCGATAGCTAGGCCTTGCTGCAACTTTGTGTGCAACCGAGCTATTGCGCGCTCTTTTGCGAGCTATAGCTCGGCCTTGCCGCAACTTTGTGTGTAACCGAGCTATCGCTCGCTCACTTGCATGCAATCTATAGCTTGGCCTGTTTTTGTGTGTCATCATCATGAGAACGACAGCTCTCTAGGTAGCTCGGTAATAACTTCTTCCGATTTGCATTACCACGTACTGTCATAACTCAAAGAGATACTTTGTTTTATATCAAGTGATGAAATATACAAGTTTAATACAAGTATGAATCAGCATTAAAATTGCATTAAACTTAAAACAATTTCACAACTCACGTAATACACAAGGTAGTTTGGTATTAAATTAAAATGATACACGACATCTAATATTAAGAATTACAAGCATACACCCATCCATAACAGTGTTGCCATGCACGCTTAATAGGAATAATATAGTAGATTTGTAGCAGTAGTATGATCAGTTCAAGAAGATGAAACAAATTTTCTTAGCTTGATGGTTGCTGTTGGTCTCCATTATGGCCGGCGGCACGACTTCGTGGTTGACAAAGAGTGTGCTTTTTTGAGTACCGTTTGAAATAGTAAGGAATAACACGATACAGCAAGAAAGGCAATGCACACAATGCGAAACTGATAATCTTGACATGACGCCTTCTCATGAGCAAGATAAGTAAGGAGCAAAGGACGCAAGTGAAGATAGCCAACCAAGGAGTGTCGGAGATTGAGGTTACATATACGCCAGTCATGAAAGCAACCAGGGTTGCATAAAACGATATTTGTAGCAATTTGATGGTCATATCTACAAGCTTTACTTCTTCTTCCATGTCCTCACATGTAAGAAACCAAAGCAGGCAAAAGAGCACCATCATGGAGCTGCATATCCCGGCCACATCCGCAACCATAAACACCTGAAATGCTGCCTTTGTCCCTAAATTTGGAATTCCGTGGTCATTGTAGTCGTCGGGAACTGTAAACGCTGCGGTGAATGTTAGGGGGTGTTTGGTATGGGTTTTTGATAGAGTTGGAAACGGAATCTGTTACCGTTTCCTTTACATTGTGTTTGTTTAATGGGTAAAGAAACAAAAACCGTTTCTTGGCTCTAACCCTTTCCATCATTTTGTTTCCAGAGGAAAGCAAAGGGAAACAAATACCTTTCCTTACTGTAACAAAAGAAAACAAAGTTTTCTCTCTCCTCTCTCCTGTCATCCAACCCTTCTCCTGAGAATTCCCAACCTCCTTCGACATTTTTTCTGAAAATTTTCCTATGAAAATTGCAATTCTCCTTATTTCGCTGCAAAATTTTCAATTTTCTACCTAAAATCTACAGAAATCTACAATCTCAAGTACGGCAAATTCTTTAATTTCGCTTATTCAATTACTAGGGTTTATATGATATCAATTTCGCTTTCTGATTTGAATTCCTTATTTGCTTGTTCGATTGAAGTTTTCTCTTCTCTTTCGTTGATATTTTGCTAAATTTGATTGTATATATTACTATTATTGCATGTAATTGTTGGCTATTTTGTGGTTTCCCCAATTTGATGGTATATATTGCTATTATTGCTTGTAATTGTTGGTTATTATTGCCTGTAATTGCTTTGACATGAGTAGAATACAATCGCCATGACACGTGAAATCGAATAAATGCAAGTTTTGAACTTATGATACTTGGAACTTTGGAAGGGGTTTTGAAGCAGAACTTTCCTTGTCATCATAAACTGATTGCTGAGGAACTTAGGTAGTGGCCAATCTTGAATGGCTTTTATCGTCTTAGGTTGAAGGCAGTTAGTCTCTGAATACTACATGAAGGGTAATTTGTATTCATATTTTTATTTTCTCCATTATATTATTGATTTGCTGCCAAAATAATAATAATGATTTGGTTATTATAAATTTTGAGACATTGTAATTTGTTTAGATGATTCCAACAATCTTGAG